TGAGATATATTGGGTTGTAAAGCAAGGTATACATGGAATAGATAAAAAAAATATTGTGCTGCTGGCATGCAATGTAACGTACAAAAGCTGAGAGCCATATGCACCAGTGCCCACACTTCCTAGCTAGCCCTGCCCACGTTTGGCCATGTCCACCATGCCAAGCAGCTCCCCTGACTTATACGGTCAACTCCTGTTGAGAGGGAGAGGGAGAGAGAAGGAGGGCTGCTTGATTGACATTCTGTCCCACGCTCCTCTACAGAGGCTGCCAGCGAGGGACATCACTGCAAAATACAAAAGCATTCATCTGAGCGATGGACACCTGTCCACGAGGAACTGGCTTGAGACCCGGGATGGGCCATAAGGCAGCTGTTGTGGAGTAGTGATTTCACATCATGGCCAGCGCAGGGCTGGATTCAAACCTGTGACCTCAAGGTGGAGGGCGACATTTCCTTGCCATCAATCTGCCAAGCCAGCTGTCGGCATCCACCCTTATCAGTCATTTGGAATGAGGGGAGGCCGAGATGGCTTTTGGGGAGTACACACACACACACACACACACACACACACACACAAAGAGAAGGGCTTAGCCTATTAGACAAGGGCTAGCTAGTGAATATCAAAAAGAGTTTCTGCTCCAGTTGGCCAAAAGGGGGTGGGGAGGAGAGAGCATCAGGTTTTACTCTAATTAAACTAGATGCTGTTTCTAAGTGCTCATCATCTCGGTCTACAGGGAAGGCCCATTATGAGAGCCTAAAGGTGGTGGTACATTAGCCCAGCTGCTTGTATAGGAAATCAGATTAGGAGGATAATATTACCGATACTATGTCATCTAGTTAGAAGTGGTTTGCTTCTCTTAAATGGAGCTGGAATGCATTCCAAGGCAACGTACCAGTGATGGAGAGGGACCTGTTAGGAGAAGGGGCCGAAGTTCAGTGTTAGAGCATCTGTTTTCACTGCAGAAGGTCCCAGGTTCGATCCTGAAGGCCATCTGCAAGCGGGGTTGGGAATGTCCCCTGCTGGAAAACTCAGAGGACACTGGGTCAGTCAATGTGATATAATACAAACTGGGCAAACTAATGATATGACTCAGTAAAAGGCAATTTCATTGTTTTCCTGGAGGGAATATTTTTACCCACAAAGATAACGATAAGCAAGTTTGCTTGCTTGCTTGCTTGCGTTAGAAAAAAAAATACCCCAGTGGCCCTCCAAATGCTTTTAAACTCCCATCAACCACATTCAGCACAGTCAGGGATAAGAAAAGAAGTGCCTGCTGGATTAGGTCAATGTCTCATCTGGTCCAGCATTCCATTCTCACAGTGGCAAATAATATGCCTGTGGGTTGTGTCCATATATCATTATTAAATTGTATTGTATCCTTCCTCTCAAAGGAGTCCAGGTTAGAAATATGTGGTGGTTGCTGATCCAAGCCTCCCTGTCCTCTAAGAACCCTAGTCTCCTTCTTTGAGAGAGGAAGATCTGAGTATTGCACCATTACATCACTGAATGGAGGGAAGGGTGTGGAATTAAGAAAGACAAACTGAGTCTCTCAAGGGGGTGACCTGCATAGTCTTTGCAACACCACAGACAGCTCCAAATCATATCAAATCTTCCCCACGCACACCTGCCCACAAGCAGACACACAAAAAAGGCAACCTTCCTTCAGTAAACGAGTCAGGCAGGCAGTTGTGTTCGCTCGAGAGCAATGCCCCCCAACAGAGAGGCTTCAAACGGGTATCTGTTATGAGCCCTCCTGGACTGCAAGTGAGCTGAGAAATAAAAGATGAGATGATTTCTGTGGGATGTGTTGGGAAGAAAGCCTGAACCTTGTAGCTCATCAAACATAGAAGATTGTTACCACCAGGAGGTCTGAGTCATATGCCTTAAGTGCTAGCAAGGAGCTGTCTATGTAACCTACACTTAGCCTTATTGAGTTTGCCATCTTTGTTGTAAAGTAATTACATTCGCTTAGCTAAATCGCAGAGTGTAGACCAGAGTGGAGCTTCATATGACACTGTCCATGGTACCTTGTAAGGCCTCAAGGGCAATTAATAGACTACCGAAGACTACATCAATCTGGTGCCCTCTACACATTTTGAACTACAGCTCCCATTATTGGCCATGTCCATTGGCTATGCTAGCTGAGGCTGATGGAACTTGTAGCATCAGGTCAGTGAAAGCTGAACTATAAGATATTGCTACCACCACCACCACCAATGGCTCAGGAGGCTAGAGCTGAGATGAGAGAGGTGGGTATGTTTAGCCTGGAGAAGAGAAGACTGAGAGGTGATATGACAGCCATCTTCAAATATCTGAAGGGCTGTCATATGGAAGATGGAATGAACTTGTTTTCCACTGCTCCAGGGGGTAGGACCTGAACCAATGGATTCAAATAACAAGAAATGAGATTCTGATTGAACATTGAGAACAACTTCCTGGCAGTGGCAGCCATTCAACAGTGGAACAGAGAGCATTGGAAGGTGGTGGGCTCTCCTTCCTTGGAGGTTTTTAAGGAGAGGTTGGGTGGCCATCTGCCAGGGATTCTTGAGCTGTCATTCTTGCATGGCAGGGGGTTGGACTAGATGACTCCTGGGGACTTTCCAATGCTACAGTAAAAAAATTAATACAAAAAGATATGGAATTCACTCCCTTGAGATGTAATGATGGCCACCAACCTGGACGGCTTTAAATGAAAAGTAGATAGAAGTTTATAAAATGAAATATATATTTGTAAAATGATGTCTGGCATAGAGAAAGTCGATAGAGGAAGGTTTTCCTCCCTCTCTCAAAACACTAGAACTAGCGGACATCCAGTGAAGCTGAACGTTGGAAGATTCAGAGCAGATCAGAGATTCAGGAGGCAGGGAGGGCCACTGACTTGAATGGCTTTAAAAGAGGACTGGACAGATTCATGGAGGAGGAGAGGGCTATCAGTGGCTACTAACCATCATGGAGGCTATGGTCTGTCTCCACAGTTGGAGGTGGCAATGCTTCGGAATACCAGTTGCTAGAAACCACAAGAGGGGAGAGGGCTGCTGTGCTTGGATCCTGGCTGTGTGTGTCCCGCAGGTCAGCCATTGTGAGAACAAGATCCTGGATCAGATGGGCCTTTGGTCTGATCAGGCAACCAGGCCCTTTTTATCATTCTTATCTCCTTTAATCCAGGCCTCTTCCTTGTCTTTGATAAATTGCTACCTGCCCCACCATAACTCAGCCTGGGACAGATCCAGAGGCTTCCTTGCAATATGAGAAGAAGGGGGTGCGGCAACGTGCAGATCTCTCTTTTATTAATTGCTTGCTGTGGTTTACAACCTCCAAAACCACAGCAGGCCTCTGAGGGTGATGTATCGAGAAGCGTGTAATTCACAGGGGTAACGGCAGGCGGAATTCAATTCTGCCCACCAGTGCTGAGCAAAGCAAACAGCATCCACCAAAACAACCCAGCAGGATATAAGAGGATGGAATTGAATTACAGATGGAGGTCATGGACAAGGACCTTGACAGAGACTGGGTGGGGGGGGGAGTTGGTTAGTGGGGGGAGATGATTAGCTTTAAGGGCAGAGATAAATGTTGGCACTTGAGGGGAGATTTATTATTAATGCTGTAACCTGCCATTGATTACTGGGTGTAAAAAAACGTGGAAAAACCATTGTCTGCAAAGCACTGTCTTGGAAGAGGCTTTTCCTCTTGTGCGTGGGAGACAGGAGAATGCCTCTTCTGAAACTTCTCATTTCATGGAGGAGGCTATCAATGGCTAATAGCCATAATGGCTATTTTCTGCCTCCACTGTCCACTAAGAGGTGACATGATAGAAGCTTGTAAAATTTTGCATGGCATGGAGAAAGTGGATAGAGGAAATTTTTTCTCCCTTTCTCATAATACTAAAACTCATGGGCATCCAGCGAAGCTGAATGTTGGAAGATTCAGGTCAAATATATGAAAGGACTTATTCATGCAGTGCATAGTTAAACTATGGAACTCCCTCCTACAGGAGTGTGCTAGGCCCCGGGGTAACCCATGAAACACGGTCCAGGTCTGGTCCAGAATCCGGAGGTTCCACTAGGAGTCAGTCCGACAGGGTCAAGGCAGGACAGGAGGCAGGAAACCAGGCAAGGACAGGTACAGGATCTCAGGCAGGAGCTGGCATACAGCAATGTTGCTCCCGCAACCTGGGGTGGGGTCCGACAGACTTTTATCTTTGTCGGGGTAATGACCAGTCCTGATCCCCCAGTGACTCACCTCCCTGTTTCACCCGAAGGTGAGTACTCCTCCTGCGAGTACTCGGGTCTCTCCTCTCAGACCTTAGTGTCTGCAGCTCAGGAGACATCGGTGGGTTACTAGACCCAGGGGCTGCCTCAGCCTCCCCTGACCCAACCAGTAGTGGAGCAGCTGTAAGTGATGGCCCAGCTGAAGGCAACGAGGTAATCCCCGCATCTGGAGCCAGGGCAGGCTCAGGCCCAGCTGGTGTTTGTTGCAGGGGAGCCTGTGCAGACTGGGACTCTTCAGGACCAGGCCCCAGACTTGGTTCAGATGATGCCTGAGGCAAAGGATCTGGTGCAGACTGAGTCTCCTCTGGTTCCGAGTCCGAGCCCAAGTCCCAGGCCATCACAAGGACGCAGTGATGGCCACCAACTTGTACAGCTTTAGAAGAGGATTTGGCAAATTCAAGAAGGAGAGGGCCATCGATGGCTACTAGTCACAATAGCTATGCTCTGATTCCACAGCTGGAGTCATTAATGCTTCTGAATGCCAGCTGGTGGAAACCACAGGAGGGGAGAGGGTTCTTGTGCTTGGGTCCCTCTTGTGGGTTTCCCACTGGGGCACGTGGTTGGCCACTGTGAGAACAGGATGCTGGCCTAGATGGGGCCATTGATCCAGTAGGCTCTTCTTGTGTTCTTAAGGCTGGCTGAAAGCTGCCTGTCAGGAGCAAGGCTAGAAAGGAAACTGCCTTACGCCTAGTGTGACCAGCAGCATCTCACCAGTGTGTTTTCCCCAGCCCTGTGTGGAAGTGCTGGGGATCAAACCTGGGATGTTCTGCATAAAAAGCAGCTGCTCTACCATTGAGCCACAGCTTTCCAGTGTTGTTGTTGTAGTATTTATCTTGTTTCCTTCACTCCTTCCCTTATAAATAACAATAAACTCAGCAGAAAGCAAAAATTGAAATCAGTATCAGTGATAGAATGCGACAGAGCAGGCAGCAGTATTCAGACTACAGCAATATTAAGACAGATCTCTGCCCTGAGGTGTTTACAATATTCATTTCTAGTGTGTGGGGGTGGGGGACAGATGGTGTGGGTCCCAAACAGCACAGATAGGAAGGAATGGGTTTTCATTGGGGATGCATCAGCTCTTTGATACTTTCATTTCTGTGCCACGTTTTATGAAAATGCGTACTTCAACAGCTAACATAATACAATCAGATACCCAAGTGCAATAACATTTGCATGCTAATATTTACAAGGTATCATTTTGGAGAGAGGACCGCAAATCTGTCAACACTCCTTTCATATTATTTGTCATTCCAAACACATACAGTATTCGCAGTGGGTTAAAACATTGCAGGTTGTCTTCTCTGCCTCCACGGAGGTGGACACAATTAGCAATTTTTGATATCGCTGCTAAGTTCTCCCAAGAGCAGTTCTGCATGCAAGATGGAGATCTCTTCACTCCAATAACATGAAATGTTTATTTTGACAGAGTTTAACAAATACCGTATACAAGATAAGATTCCAGAACTCCTTTCTCTCCGGATCCCTTTAAGATGGTGTAACTGTCCTAAGGAGTAAGAACACAAAAAGTGTTTGCTGGATCAGGCCAGTGGCCCATCTAGTCCAGCATCCTGTTCTCACAGGGGCCAACCAGATGTCCCAATGGGAAACCTGCAAGCAAGACCTGGCCGCAAGAGCCCTCTCTCCTCCTGTGGTTTCCAGCAACTTCTATTCAGAAGCATTAATGACTTCAACTGTGGAGGCAGAGCACAGCCATAATTGCTTGCAGCCACTCCTAGTCTTATCATAGAATCATAAAATTGTATGGTTGGGATCCCAAGGGACATCTGGTCCAAGCCCCTGGGATGCAGGAATGTCAGCTAAAGCATCCATGACAGATGGCCACCCAACCTCTGCTTAGAAACCTCCTCCATGAATTTGTCCAACCTTCTTTTAAAGTCAGCTTGGATGCATTCCCTAATTGCCTTTCATAAAAAAAAAATCTCAATACGACTCATTTTTTAAAAAGTAAAGCATTGTTTTAAGATGCTTGCCATGCTGTCTTTAAAAATATTGCATATGGCGCTTTTGGCAGCGTTCCCTAAAATCTCCATTGTTTCCATAGAAAAGAAAAGGGAGGAGGGAAGGTTCTTAGAGGGGACGTGGTGGGGAAGGAGGTTCCCTACATTTTCCCATCTTCCTCCCTCTAGTCTTTACATTAAAGGTCTGTCCCCTTCACTGCTGCTCTGTGGCTTGGATTCCCCATGATATTACAGAGACTGGGGAGCTGTCCACCAGGGAAAGGAGCTGGCCAGCATGAGATGTTGCTGAAGCAGCTGGGGAGCTGGCCAGCACAAGACCATGTTGTCTTGAGGAACAACTAGGCAGGAAAGCATAGAATCATAGAGCTTTATAGCTACCCCTCCTGGAGCCTCAACAAGGCCTTAATTCTACAGGATACATCAGCTTGCTCCCTCCTTTCAAGTAGGCTTCAGAAAGCTCATGCTATCAGATGTAAAAATACAAGGAGATAAGTCTGTGCTGGATCAAGTCAATGGACCATCTAGTCCAGTATCCTGTTTTCACAGTCGGCAGCCAGTTGCCTGTGGGAAACACACAAGAGAGAGCCAATTACAAGAGCCCTTGCCTCTCCTGTGGCTTCCAGCAACTAGTATTCAGAAACATTACTGCCTCCATGGCTAGTAACCATCAATAGCCTTGCCATCCATGGATTTGTCCAATCTTCTTGAAGAGCCATCTAAGCTGGTGGCCATTTCTGCCTCCTTCGGGAGCAAGTTTCACAGTGTGCACTGGACTTTCTGTTTTGGGACTCATCATAGTCTCCGCTCCTAGCTGCCACCAGACAAAACAAAAGACCAGACGTTTAAGACCCTGAATCTGGAGGTGAGTGGATGGTCCCCAGGCACCCATTCCATCCCTTTAATGATGCAGAGATGATTGTTCTGCACTGCATTTTCCTGCTCTTCACATCTAGTCCAAGGGACACTTGCTTGCTATTTATTTCATTAAATCTATACACCACTTGATTGTTAAAAACCCCCCAATGCTGTTTACAAAAAGAAGAAAATAATAAAAGTATTGATGAAATAATCAACAAGCACAATTTAAAACATTAAAGAATTAAAACCAGAGATAAACTGAAAACAAATTAAAATGTGCAACAGCATTCCAGGTAGGCTTGGCTAAACAAAAAATTTTTTAGCATGTGCCAAAAAATAAGTATGATACGATACGATAATCTTTATTGTCATTGTCCCATACAGAACAACGACATTGAAAATCTACATCAGACATTCAGAAACCAACAGTGAAGGTGCCTGCCTGATGTCAATACTAAAATATCAGTTTCTTACAAGTGTGCCACCAGAGACAGTGCCAGTTCCACAGATGGAAGTGGGCATATATGGAGTATAGCAATCTGTCAGGTAAACGTGTCCCAAGCTGTTAAGGGCTTTATATACCGATAGTAACACCTTGAACACCCAGTAGAAAGGCAGCAACCAGTGCAGATCTCTGAGCGCAGGTGTTACATGCTGGAAAGGCCTGTCAGCAACCATGCTGTCGCATTCTGCACTAACTGCAGCCTCTGGATGAAGTGCAAGGGAAGCCCCACATAGAGTGCATTGCAGCACTCCAGTCTTAAACTTATAAAACTGACCCAGGACAGGGAGAATCTGCTGTATTCTTCTGCTTGTTAGCAGGCAGCATGGATCAAAACACTGTGAAAGGAAGGAGGGAAGGAAGGAAGGAAGGAAGGAAGGAAGGAAGGAAGGAAGGAAGGAAGGAAGACTGTGTGGTTCTTTTCCCCCAAGCAGAACTCAGAGGTAGAAGACCTCATCCAGTCAAATTTGTTCATTAGTTATTAGGTTTCAATTCCACCTGTCTTTCAAGCAGCTCAAGGCAGTGTTTGCGATTCCCGCTGTGAGGTAGGTCAGGTTGTGAGACAGTAACTGGCCCAAGACCACCCAGTGAGCTTTGGGGCTGAGTGGGGGCTTTGAGCCCCAAGAGAACAGGAACAGACCCACAGGTTGGAGGGATGCTGGGTTTAGCCACTGCAGCAGTGGAGTGGGTGATCCAGGTCCCTTGCAATTGCCCCCCCCCCAGATTGTTGTCTCTGGTGGCACCCTGCATTCCAAAACACCCTCCTTGCACCCCCTGTGCGAGCAACAGAGCAACTTGTATCTCCCTAAGAAGCCAAATTAGCCGAACTGGCCTTGAAGGATGTGAACTCCAAGAGGCCCAAATAAAGATTAATGGAGTTTTGTGAGTGGCAACGATTATCTGGTAATTGCTTTAATAATCCACAATTATTTTCACTTAATATCCCATGATGAATGGAGTGGGCCGAGCATTTGGGATAGCATTTATTTGTTTGATCATTGGAAGGTTGAACTATGAGGATTCCAAGGCAATAAATCAACCATGAACAGCAGTTTTCCAGATGACTGAGAAGAGAGAGGAAAACAGGGGTATTCCAGAGGCACCTCACAGGCAGAGAAGGGGAGACTTTGGACCCACCAAAGCCCCTCTTTCACTAGCCATGTGCCCTGGAATGGGAAAAGAGGTGTGCCAGTCCTGAGGCCAAGGAAATGCAAAGATGAAATTAAAGGGAAAAGGTTAACGGTTTTCAAAAAGAGCTAAAAGCCACACACACAGTTTTCATCCTACCAGCAGGAGCCAACAAGGTTTTGGAACTGAGAGGTTCCTTGCTGTAGTTTCATAAGAAGAGGCTGCAGCGTTCAGAAAGCTCATGCTATCAGATTTAAGAGCACAACTGGTTTTCAGAAGCATTTTCTGCCTCTGACTGTGTGTGTCTTGCTTTATTGAGATATACACTTCATTGTTTGGAACTGAACCCACAGTATCTCTGAGGTATGCCTCTACGTGAAAGAAGGATTTTTTTGGTGACAACATGCATCGCCTTACTCATGTTTACACTGAATTGCATTTGTCATTTCCTGTCCTGATTCTTCACATGTTAAGCTTCATTGGATGTCCATGATGCTTTAGTAGTACTATGAGAGAAAGAGGAAAGCCTTTTCCCTCCAGTGTTTCCCAAACTTGGGTCTGCAACTGTTTTTTGGACTACAACTCCCATCATCCCTAGCTAGCAAGACCAGTGGCCAGGGATGATGAGAACTGTAGTCCCAAGTTTGGGATACACCGCTTCACCGTGCAAAGGGTTGCCTCTTCCTTGGCTCCCCCCCCCCAAACTTCAAAGCCCCAGACACTGCCCCCTTTCATAGGGGAGTTGTGCCATCACCCCCTTGATCGTTCTGCTTGCCCTTGTCTGAACCTTTTTCCAGCTCTACAATATCCTTTCAGGTCAGGTGAACAGAGCTGTACACAGTGATGGTCAGAGATGCCAGCACTGGAGTTCAACATCTGGAGAGCAACAAGTCGACGCCTCGCCCTGCTCCAATCAAAAGTGGAATCAGCTGCCACCCACGTCTCCTTCTGACCTGCTCGCCAACTTATATCAAGGGCTTTTTTCGCCTCGTCAGCTGCCTCCTTGCGCTCAGCGATTTCACTCTGATGACTTCCTCGCCAATTGACACCTCTTGGGCTGCTCTGAGTGTGAAAAAAGGATGGAGGAAGCCCCCTCTGTCTCTTGCTTTCACCCCCTATCCATCACCCGCCCCCGCCCCCTTCCTGCATCCCTGAGGCTGCCTGACAGCCTCTCTATCCGTGTTCCAGGTCAGCGAGCACCGCTATGGACAGTTCCGCGATCAATAAGTGTAAATAGACTGGGGAATCGGCTTTCCGGTGTGAAATCTTTGCAGTACATGGGCAACATTATACAGTGCGTCAGCCACAGGGCAGAGCATCTGGCTCAACAGCTGCAGCATCTGAAAGCCCCGACGCCATTGGCAGGGCTCCGTCTGCAAAGTTCTTCAGGCACATTGCCCCCTGGGAAACTTGACAGTGACTAATGCATTATTAGACGTGCCAACCTTCGGTTGGGTGGCTGCGAGGGCAGAGTCGCCACGGATTTGGAGAGAGGGGCCCTCCAGGCCACCCACATCTGTGCATCTGAAGTTGAGCTCATTTGGGAAGGGGAAAAAAAACCCCAAAACAAATCTGAAGCAGAAACACTCCTCGTTTTAATGTATCGGGGTTGTAAGGGCACCTTAATTAGTCTAGCTCTAGCAAATATCTAGGCACGTTTGAATTCTCTGCAGGAAAAAGGAAGCAGAACAAAACTCTGAGAGGCAGTACCATCAGGTCCCTGGGATTTCACATGGGGTGAGATCTGCAGACGACTTGGCGAAATCTGAAGCCCGCTTTGAGAAGAGTAGCATTCAAATCTCCTTCTGTCTCTTTTACTGCTGCTTCCAAAACTCGCCTCATCACCCCCAAATGGGGAGGTTTTCAAACTGCCTGGTCTCTGTTCTGAACGGGAACCGATGGAGCAGCTTCAGGAGGTATTGGGGACCATATAAAAGGATGCCAAGGGCCACATGTTGCCCCCTTTGTCTGCAGTTACCCACCTGTACTTTAGAGGATATTTGACTTGGCTTGATTCCTGCTGATGCTGTTGGGGAAAGACGGCAGGAGATCAAGCTCATCCCGGCTTAGCTTCCAGCCTCAATAGTCTTCTCAGCCAGAAGTGAGAATGCAGTTTCCTCTGCTACTTTATGAACTAGAAGCTTGGAAACGCAGGAAGTGGACTTTATGTGGAGTCCAGACTTTTCTCCTCTCGCTGGCAGCAGCTCCCAGTGCTTTTTCCTAGCTCTGATGAGATAAAATTTAACTGGAGATGACCCCTGGGGTGGGGGGTGGGATCTATGCCCAAAGCTTGCTCCCTGCCTTATGGGCCCCACCCCCATCCCAAAATACCTCTACAGTGTGTGAATTAGACATAAGCTGCCTTCTACTAAGTCAGGTCATTGGTCTGCCCAGTGTTGTCTACACTGACTGTCAGAGGCTCTCCAGGGTTTCAGGCAGGGAACTCCCCCCAGCTCTAGAAGAAGAAGGAGGAGGAGTTTGGATTTGATATCCCACTTTATCACTACCCGAAGGAGTCTAACATTCTCCTTTCCCTTCCTCCCCCACAACAAACACTCTGTGAGGTGAGTGGGGCTAAGAGAAGTGTGACTAGCCCAAGGTCACCCAGCAGCTGCATGTGGAGGAGCGGAGATGCGAACCTGGTTCACCAGATTACGAGTCTACTGCTCTTAACCATTACACCACACTGGCTCTACCCGGAGATGCCAGCAGGGATTGAACCCATGGCTTCTGGAGTGCAAAGTAGATGCTCTACCATTGAGCTATGGCCGTTCCTGTCAAAATAAAGCAAGACTCCAGCCCTCATGATGGGTCTCTCTCAACTTTCCCTGGGTTGAGTTGGGTTCTGGACCTTCTTCATGCAAGGCAGGTGCTCTGTCACTAAGCTGTAGCCCTTCCCCAGTAGAAGTGCTGGGCATCTCTTCTTTCTACGTTCAGACTTCGCTTCCTCCACAGTTTGCCCCAAGATGCTGGCCACCTTGCTCTGCACATCTCTGTGGCAACGGAATTACGCAACCCAGGCCACAGCTTCCCCTTTGTGGGATGCTAATGAAGTGTTTAATCATGCATTTTTTCTGCATGAATCAGAGAATTTTTCTCACCTGTGGAAAAAAATGGAGCCTTATAAAACGATGGGTATTTGTGCTTTTTTTTGCCCCTGTGATGGAGAATTAATTGCCTTTTGATTAATGAGCCCTTCAGGACTTAGCTGCAGCAACCAGCTCTTGCGAGGAACACAGTGGTAATGAATGTTTCTGCACTTGGCTTGATGGTATGTGGCTATATATATATATATATATATATATATATATATATATATATGAGTGAAGGTGAAGCTGAACAGAGTGGGAAGCATCCCAATATCTATGAATATGCCTCACCTTCTTTTAAAGCCATGCATGTTGATGGCCATCTTTACTTTCTTGTGGAAGTGAGTTCCAGAGTGGAATGCCAGTGAGTCAAACACTGCCCCTCCCCACACTGCCTGAAATGTCTGCAGAGCTGCTGCCAGACAGTGTAGAAGATACTAAGCTTGATGGGTGTCAGGGACTGGACTGAAGAGGAATGGTGGGAGCCCCCTGTTTTTATGAACCTTCCCAAGGGCAGGAGGACAGTATTGATTTAGAACAGTGGTTTGCAGAAGGGCATAGTCCAGAGGGGACAAGCTGGGAAATACTGGGTGAGGAGCAGCTAGAAGAGCATACACTAGGAGAGAGGGAGACAGCTGGCTGATTCAGTGTCCTTGGGCAGCATTCCTGATGCCCCCCCCCTTCCCCTAAGACTAGATGGGCTTGGAAAATGATGGAATAGAAAGCGCAAAGGCAACAAGCTCAGATTAGGAGTAATGTAGATTAATGGGGACAGGGACACGGGTGGCGCTGTGGGTTAAACCACAGAGCCTAGGACTTGCCGACGGGGTGAGCTCCCGTTGCTCGGCCCCTGCTCCTTCCAACCTAGCAGTTCGAAAGCACGTCAAAGTGCAAGTAGATAAATAGGTACCGCTCCGGCGAGAAGGTAAACAGCGTTTCCGTGCGCTGCTCTGGTTCGCCAGAAGCGGCTTAGTCATGCTGGCCACATGACCCGGAAGCTGTACGCTGGCTCCCTCAGCCAATAAAGCGAGATGAGCAGAGCAACCCCAGAGTCGGCCATGACTGGACCTAATGGTCAGGGGTCCCTTTACCTTTAGATTAATGGGGACGGAGGGGGTGAACCTTTACTGGGAGCAAGGCAATTTTTAGTGTGCTATGCCTTCCTTTGTCTCTCACTGTGATTGTTAAATAACTTATCTGGTAAGAATGCTGCTTTCATCTGATCTGCTTAATTACTGCCACCAGGGGAGGGATCTGATTCCCCAAAGCCTGACAATGGGGCTGACTGTGTCAGAAGGTGTGTTCCTATGCAGCGTCAGGTGTTCCTCAGAATTATCTTCAAAAATGTCTTTGAGGACATTTTAGCTCTCTTCTCCTCTCTGCAAACATCAGAAGTGGTCTCAGACTGGGGGTGGTTGCCGACGGATGGCCATCTGGCAGGGATTCTTTAGCTGTGACTTCTGCCTTGCAGAGGGGCTGGACTGGATGGCCTTTGGGTGCCTTCCAACTCTACAGTTCTAACTGGAAAGATGGCAGGCAGGGAAATGGCTGGAGATGTGGACATGCCTGATGCCTGATGGAACGAAGCACTTCATAATCCTCAGATGGGGAGGGAGGCTTCTCAAGACAGCCAGGAGATAGATCTAAACCATTTCTGCACGAACCTTGAACTCATTCCTACACTTGTCAGCCGAGGCCGCTCGCTGATCCCAGACACACAACTGCCTAATCCTTTTGGTCTCAAATTAATATTGTATTGATTGACAGCCTTAGAAGGCAGGATTGGGGGTCACCCTCGTCTGGCTGCCTCCTTCATTCTTCTACCTTGGCAAAGTCCCCCTCCTTGGCTTTTTCTAGTTGCCATGACTACTCTGAGGTTTATTAACAGGCAGGCAGAAGGAAGGAAGGTTTGTTTTCTGGGCAGGATCATTTTCAAGGTCTCCTTTCTCCTGTGAGCCTAGACAAGAGATGAAAGAACTTCTCCCCACCCCCCAGGAACCTCATTCCCTTATGGGCAAGTTTCCATGAAAGCGTAAGAAGAGCCTGCTGGACAGGCCAAAGGGCCTCTAATCCAGCATTCTGTTCTCACAGTGGCCAACCAGATGACCATGGGAAACCAGAAAGCAGGACTAAGCAAAAAAACACTCTCCCTCTCCTGTGGCTTCTAGCAACTGGTATTCAGCAGCGTAGCTGCCTCTGACCATAGAGGCCACAGCACAGTCATCATGGCTAGTCACCACAGAATTGTAGAGTTCGAATATCTGCATTGATATCCCACCTTTTTCTCCAAGGAGCTCAAGCTGGTGTAAATGGTACTCACTCCTCGCTTAATCCCCACAACAACCCTTTGAGGTAGGCTAGGGACACGGGTGGCGCTGTGAGTTAAACCACAGAGCCTAGGGCTTGCCGATCAGAAGGTCGGCGGTTCAAATCCCCGCGACGGGGTGAGCTCCCATTGCTCGGTCCCAGCTCCTGCCAACCTAGCAGTTCGAAAGCATGAAGTGCAAGTAGATAAATAGGTACTGCTCCAGCAGGAAGGTAAACGGCATTTCTGTGCACTGTTCTGGTTTGCCAGAAGCGGCTTAGTCATGCTGGCCACATGACCCGGAAGCTGTACGCCGGCTCCCTTGGCCAATAAAGCGAGATGAGCGCCGACACCCCAGAGTCGGCCACGGCTGGACCTAATGGTCAGGGGTCCCTTTACCTTTCCCTAGGCTGAAAGCTGCTGCGACTGGCACAAGATCACCCAGTGAGTTTCATACCCAAGCGAGGGGATCTGAACCCTCATCTTTCCCAGGTCCTAGTCCGATGCTCTAACCACTACACCGCATAGGCTCTCTTGTTATCATTCTCTTCCCTCAGGCAAAATGATAAGGCAGGAATCTGCTCACTTGATAGACAGATCCATGACATTCTTCATTTAGAAAAACCCCAATATTTTTCCACATCCCCCCCCCGACATAAAAGAACATTTTTTTCACTTGGAGAGAAGATCAGGACATTCACGACATCCCTAACTGCCATGCCACTTCTGCTCACCATTTGCTGGGAATTGTGGCAAAATGAATTTTGTTTTCTTATGGACCCATTCTATTTCCCCTGCACCCTCTCCCTCTTGTGAAAGTCGGGGACTTTATTAGCTCCGGGAGATTTAGGATCCTGCCTCTGACATTGGTTTCCCCACCTCCTTGCTGGAAGGGACACACGAGATTAATCTCCGCCGCGCCTCTCACTTAATAGGAACACGGCTATAAATGTAATCATGCAGTTTATGAGCTGTGCAAATCTGCTGGCCTCAGCAGAATCGATACGGAAGTTAAGGTGGCAATGGGTTCTGCTCCTGAAGGGTTAGTCTACACATTTGGTTTATCGCACAGACACTGCCCAAAATTGCTTTTCGGCGATGACTTATCCCTGCCACCCAAGACTAGCTCTCGTTATCCGGGGTGCTTTAGGGATCTGGGCCAGCCTAAGTCAATTTGTTGCCTGAGGTGAGCCATAAAATGGCACCCCCTTCACCCTCTCCCTTCCGTTGCTGCCTCATAGAATTGTAGAATTGGAAGGGACCCCAAGGCTCAAGTAATCCAACTCCCCTGCAATGCAGGATCACAGCAAAACAAGCCTTGGTATTATTATTATTATTATTATTATTATTATTATTATTATTATTTACTTATACCCCACCCATCTGGCCGGGCCTCCCCAGCCACTCTGGGTCGCTCCCAACAGAATATTAAAAACATGATGAAACATCAAACATTAAAAACAGGACTGCCTTCAGATGTTTTCTAAAAGTCAGGTAGTTGTTTATTTCCTTGACATCTGATGGGAGGACGTTCCGCAGGGCAGGTGCCACTGCCGAGAAGGCCCTCTGCCTGGTTCCCTTTAACCTCACTTCTTGCAGTGAGGGAACTGCCAGAAGACCCTCGGCGCTGGAGCTCAGTGTCCGGGCTGAACAATGGGGGCAGAAACGCTCCTTCAAGTATACTTGGCTGAGGTCATTTAGGGCTTTAAAGGTCAGAACCAACCCTGACAGATGGCCATCCATCCAAGCTTTCCCATGAAGGAGAATTCACCACCTTCCAAGGTCGTCCATTCCACTGTCAAACAGTTCTCACCATCAGAAAGTTCTTTCTAATGTTTAGTCAGACACTCCTTACTTGTCATTTACAGTGGTACCTCAGGTTACATACGCTTCAGGTTACATACGCTTCAGGTTACACACCCAGAAATCCAGAAATAGTGCTTCAGGTTAAGAACTTTGCTTCAGGATGAGAACAGAAATTGTGCTCTGGCGGCGCGGCGGCAGCAGGAGGCCCCATTAGCTAAAGTGGTGCTTCAGGTTAAGAACAGTTTCAGGTTAAGAACAGACCTCCGGAACGACTTAACCTGAGGTACCACTGTATATCCATTGGTTTGGGTCTCTTGGAACAGCAGAAAACAAGCTTACCTCATCTTCCATGTGACAGTCCTTCAGATACTTGGAAATAACTATCAACTTTCAGTCTTCGTTTCACTAGGTAAACTTACCTAACTATAGAGCCTCCTTCTGCCCCACTGTTTGGCACTTTCCTTCCCTCAGCAGCTGTTCCCATTTTCCTCAACACCCCATTGTGGTTCAGATCACCCCTGACTGCTTTTATTTAAAATGGAAGAAGAAGGAAGAAGAAGAAGAAGAAGA